GTTGTTCGCATCTATGGATAAGAATTTCGGTTTTGGGGTCAAAATTGAGTTCGCATCTACAATAAACTATTGGGGTTGCTGATGGTTCTCATTGCTACTGGTGTGTGGTTTGTTCATTCGCATCTGGTAACAAATTAGGGGAAGAAAGGAAAATGTTCGCATATGGTCCTTATAGTTTCAATGTTTTGGTAGTTACTACCCACTTTCACAATGGGAATAAAGTTTTGTGAAGTATGCAGAATTTTCGATTTGAACCCCTACAGTTTATGCGAATTGGCAAATTTTACCCAGTTTCGTATTTAAGGTAAAAATTCTGAGAAATGAGAATATTTTCGAATCTGGTCCCTAAGGCTTTTGCGAATTGACACTTTATGCTCAGTTTCGCATTTGGGGTAAAGTTTCGCATTGAAAGCAGTTTTGGCGCAACGGGTCACCGCAGAATTACGAAATTGGCAGTTTATACCCATATTTTCGAAATTCTTGCAACTCTCATCCAAAAGTCGAAAATTTTCACAAAATTTTGAAATTTTTCTTGGCTTTTTGTGATAGTTTTTCGTGCAAGATTTTCACGGTTGCATTTTTCGCACACACCGAGGGGGAGATTCGTCAAGTTTATTTCTCGAGTGGTTCTCATCCTTTGTGGGTTTTATAATTACTTGTTGATTATAAAAAGGGGGAGAATGTAGAAATGGGTATTCGAAGCTTCTCGGTTATTCATTTACGGATTTGAAGACCGGTATTACTTTGAGGGGGACTTGGTCTAGATCGACCGAACTCGTTTGGAAACTGAATCCGGGATATCCAATCCTAACTTTGAAGGGGAGAATGTTATGGTGCAAAGTTCTCATTGGATGTGGCTTACCCTCTTGTATGTGTAAATGGGTTGAGGCTTTCCTATAAATAAGAAGTGAGTGACTCCCATTATGTAAGACCCATTTGTGAGTGTTTGCTTAGTGATAGAAATAACAAAACCCAATTGTACTCTTACTATTATAATGGAGCTTAAACTTGTTTATTTACTCCTTGTGTTCTTGATGTTTGCACGATTCACTAGATCTTTACAATTCCGCACATGTCACCATAATCAGGATCATTTCAAATATCTTGCAAAAATTGTAATAATATGAACTATATAAACAAATCGTTTGATCATATCTCTATTATATGATAATCTTATTTAGATTAATGTCAATTCGAAAGCTATATTAAAAAAGGAAAAATGGCTTATCTCTTTTTAATTATTTTATCCAAAAATTTAAACTATTATAAAAACCATAACATTGCGATAAGTAGTATTCTAGTCCATTGATGGCGTTTGAATTATATTTTTAATGCACATAACGTGAACAGTTTTTAGGCGACAATTGGTTTTCTTTCGACTGGGTACGAATAGTTTTGTTTTTAGTAGCGGGTGTGATTAGTTTCATTCCAATGAATACTTTCTACCCAAATGGTTTTCATAAACCATGTGATAAATAGTTCACGATAAATATTAATTGTATTACATATTTTAAAATTATATTATATAGTTAGAACATGTATCATTATAATAGTCTTTTTCATATTATTGCAAGTCATGTTAATGTTTTTTCGTTAGTAGTCATTGTGTATTATTCACTTATATTAAAAAGTTATAATTATGTTATAGAAATATGTTCCATTTTATAAACAAAATTGCATGACACGGTCATCTCATTCATATACAAACCATGCATGTATTGTAAAAGTCATGGATTATAAATTATATCCTTCCTCATTTATTAAATTAAAAGATATATTTTCTCCGATATAAAAGGAAATACTTTTTTCCATTTTCAAGACTTCTTGAAATATGAATACCTTTTAGTTGTTTTACAAATCACATAATACTATACTTCAAATTAACATAAAATAATTTAAAAATACCAATTTCAAATAACATAAGATAAAAATGCTTTAACGAAGAAGATTGTCTTTATTAGAAACAACCCACCATGATAACATTTGGATAATACAATAATGGCAACATTTAAGATAATATATTAATTTGAACTTCAACTTAAATGCTATGGTTATAAGAAATCTATTGTGTTCGTTTGTGCTATATTTGAGATAAAATAATGTAAAAGACTTTATAAAAAAAAACTTAGTGGTTTCCTTTTTTACTTGATAAATCTTATGAATATATATATCTATATATATAATATATATATATATATATATATATATATATATATATATATATATATATATGTTCATTTACCTTAACATTCAAATTGTCTTGATAGGCTAAGTGGAAATAATGGATTAGACCATAGACATCAGTGCAATGCCACTAGTCTTTCAAACATGTTACATGATCAGCTTTTGCAATTACTTCTACATCAGTGTAATATCACTCATCTTCCAAAAGTGGCTGCCACATCAGCAACTAATTTATATATTCTAATATTTATCTTAAATATTAATAATAATTATTATTTAGTAACAAATTAACATAAAATACAATTATTTAGTGATACAAAACTTTAAGTATATATATATATATATATATATATATATATATATATATATATATATATATATATATATATATATATATACTACACAACGTATATAGATATTGCACGAGAAGTCAAAAAACAAAGGTTAACTTAAAAAAATACGATTCATAAATAAATAAACAATTTAACAAAAAATTGATTTTATAAAGTTGATATAATGATCTCTAAAATAATTTTGAAATCATATATACTAGTAGAAACAAATATCGAATATTCAATGTGAGGATTGTGGCTATAATTTATTAAAGACTTAAAATAGTTTTTTTATAAAAATAATATAGTAATATTAAAATGGCCCACAAATTACTTTTACAAGTCTTTCAAACTATGAAAGACCAAACCAAATGTGGCTTTCAATTTGGCTTTGCAAGGTCCGCTGTGGATGGTCTTAGTGGTTGTTTCTCACCCTTTTTACATTCTATTGTGCAAGTACATGTTGCACCACTAAAGAATAATCTAAACCTACCCATCAAAACCCATGAAATTGCTACAAAACAAAAAGATTAATGAAAATAATGAACTTATAGATTTTATTAAAAATTTAGCCATGGTTGACAAAAATAACCTTTGCCTTCAAATAACTACATGTTATAACTGGTTAGCCTTTTGAAAATATATCGAGTTATAACATTGTACTTTCAAAGTACAATACTTTAATAAGAGTATATAAGGATAAATTAAAAAATAGAAAGAAAATTAATTGCTATTTCTTGAATTTAACCAATATTATCTTTAAAAACATACACACACAAACACACAAAAACAGACTCACTGACACATACACACACTACACAAACAGACACATGAGACATATATACACACACATGACACAACACATATAAAATATATATACCATACATGCAACCAGAGAAACACCATATAAAAAACTAAAATAAAAAAGATGCATACATGTTTAATAGATACACACAAATCCAGTAATCAAGAAACTAAAACTATCAACTACATCAATGTTACCTGTTACCTGGTAAGAAAAGAGAAACATATTCCACAAAACAAAATCAGACGTGTATAGAATCACTTCTTTCAACCATGTGAATTAAAAAAAAAGGAGCATTGCAAATACATAGTGAAAAAGTTTCATTTTTATATGATATCCTTTAACGATTAATCGACAAGCATAAATGCAATCTTGAAATGAAGAAAGTTTTCAGATAAGTAGATGGTAAGAGAAATACTTTCAAATTAAAACATACCTGAAATGCTTGTCAGGGTCATTGCCATCACAAAATCAAAAAGTGAAAAAAAGAAAAGAAAACTGCAACAACTACAAAACAGAAACAACAGAAAAAATGAGGTTTTATGATTTACATACCATAGATGGTCAGCCTGAAACTATCATTTTCTTCGGTGTGTCTGTCATTCCATACACAAATGTAGAAAAAAACCTGAAGAATGAACAAAAAAAACCTAAAAATCAAATAAGATCTATAAAAAATTAAACACATATTGTAAAAACAAGGGTCGTATGTGATACCTTAGAGCCATTGACCAAGAGATGATTTGCAAGACTTCGTCCCATACCTATGCATGAATGAAATACACTTCAAAGAAAATGTAATTTCTTCTTCTTTCTTTTTTCGAGTAAATTGCATTTTGGTCGCTAGTTTTGCAATTTTAGTACCGAACTTTTATAATGCAAATTTGGTACTTGTTTTTGGGTTTCCATTGATTTTATTCTCTACATAGTCTAAGTAAATAACCTAGTCGTTAGCTCATTTCATTCCAATCCTAAGCCTATTATTTTAAACATATGCAACTTTAACCTGCTTAGTTTGTATCTCAACATCACACAACTATATCAAGGTCCACAATCCATAAATTTATTTACTGGTAAATAATAATAGAAAATATAATGATCATACGAAGGAATATTGGAATGTCATAAAAATCAAGACATACCTCTTCCAGTAGGTTCTCTTTCTCTTCTTGCTCTTCAACAATCAAAGAGTCTCCCACCACTGTAAAATTAACAACTAATTACTCCCTCATTATAAAAAATGTCAAAATAAAACAAGCGTAAACACAAAAACATACCTTAGAATGGGATTTGGGGAAGAAAGCCATAAACGAAAATGAAAATTAGACCTACATGGAAAGCAAACACAAAAAATGAGGCATGAAATCTAGATCTTTTTCCTTGATTGGGGAGCACTTGAATTGAAAATTCTTTAATCTTTATCATCTACACCATGCGAAATGAACGATTAGTTTTGATAAATAAAAAACACATATATATATATATATATATATATATATATATTTGTTAGTTTTCCTTATTAACAATTGTTGCATGTTAGTTTTTAATAAACCCAATCATTCATGTCAATATGTAGTTGATTTGGTTGCTCTCTCACAATCTGTAAGTTATATATATATATATAACTTACAGATTGTGAGAGAGCAACCAAATCAACTACATATTGATATGAATGATTGGGTTTATTAAAAACTAACATGCAACAATTGTTAATAAGGAAAACTAACAAATATGGTTTCTGAATGTGTTCATCTGCAACGACCATGAATTAGAAACTAAAACAAAAATCAAGATCACTTTTGTGGTTTTGGGCTTGAAATATTATGTTATCTTCTATCTGCAAAACATTAGGATTGAGAGTGAGGTTATGGCCTGAAATCGAGATCAAGAGTGATGTTTAGGGCTAAAAATCGTTGCTTACCTTGAATGTGCAGTGGTTGTGTCTAAAAACGTGGCATAAGTGTTTTAGTTTCAGTTTTCATGATAAACTTATCAACTGTAAGGCTACATGTTAGAGCATCATAAAAAGTGCCTACAACAGTTGTATTTGAAGGATAACTTACACTATAACCACCTGCAAGAATTAATAAAAGGATTCAATCTTAATTTACGAACAAAAAAATAAAATAAAAATAAAAACAATGCGAGAACCCTACCATGGACAATGAGTTTCCTAAAAACAAAACAATCACTTCTGTTACCCCTTCTAGTCATAAGCCTTGAGGTTGATTCTGCCACCAGAAGCACCTCCGCCCGTGGTACCTCCATCTCCACTTTACCTAACTTTTCTGGAAAAAAAACAAAAATTAACTTCAAGATTTTGGAATAAAATGAAGTTTAATGTGTTTTTTTTTTAAATATGAATTTTAGGGGATTACCGGCCGTGAAACGTATAATGAAATACTGATAGTGGACGAGCAAACTCTTCAAAACTAAGGATTCCATTATGCTTTGTGTCAAATAAGTCAAACACCTGAAAGTTAAAGTATTAACAACAGGCTTCCATAACAATGTCCAAAAGTCAAAATACTTTAGTTGTAAATACTAAATAAACATACCCGATCAACAAACATGCTTTCCTTTTTATTTGTCTTAAATAATGCCAATTGGAACTCCTCCTGTGATACAAATGAAATTTTTTGTTATATTAAAAAATAAGAGCAACATAGAAACTGTAAAGAATGTTTGTACAAACCTTATTGATTAATCCGTCATCAATAACAACACTGCTAATCTTCTTAAATAACTCATAAAGTGCTTCTATTTCGCTTACGCTAACTGCATTACACCATACACGACTTTTGTTAGTATGATATGTGAGTGTTTTCATGCCAAAAACAACAATTTTGCAAGCCTAATAGTGAAATATGGATCAAAAGGGTATACACATTGTCTCTCTGGCTAGAATTTCAGGATCTTCAAGGGTTGTTAATTGTCTGTATGCTTCAAGATCACAACAATGGAGCAAGGAAACAAATAAACGCTTGACCCCCTAAGAACTGAGACATGGTACTTGTTGTATATCAAAATGCTCCATGATCGTTACTAGAAAGAAGACCAAAAGAAAAGTCAGAGGTCTGACCTGCAAATACAAACATGCAGATAGAAGAGAGATATATGAACAGATAGGAATAACCTTTCGACCATTTCGTGTCGCTGCTAAAATAAATATTTGATTTTTTTTATTCGGGGCAACCAATGCCTCTAGGGCTTCGTTGCTTTGCTGGTCGAGAAAAAGGTGGCAATCGATCAATTGTTCTTCATCATCAAATGCTACTCAAGCCAACTTCTTTGTGGAGTTGATTTGACGAAGTAAGAGTCGATAATTGTTAAACACCTGATATTTATGTTTCAATAGCAAAATTGAAAGCAATTTGATGCATAATTTACTCCGATATAAATGAGCCCAGATCGAAAAAGTGGTTTTCGGCATATTTGAATTGGTTAAAGATTATAACTTTTTCAGCATTCAAGAATCTTGAATTGAAAACATGAAAACATAAAAACATACCTCGTGATTCTTGGAATCAAGTCCTTTGCAATTAGCTAGGAAGAAATAAGGAGGATGGTCGTCAGAAATGGCTGCCGAAGAATCAAGAGACGCATAGGAGATGTGGTTTAACGATGGTTGCATTATGTATAGAGGGGAATAGGATTTTAAATTAAAGAGGGATCGCGTACGCATTTTTCAAAAGAAAAGGCATTCGATTTTTTTTTGTGAGGATGACATCATCAAATTGATTCAAGGGTGTTAAGAAAAGCCAATCAATTGGCTGATTGTTGAAGGTAATGTAATAAAATTTCTTTTTTTTAATATATATAGAGATAAAATATTATAATATATTTGCATTTAACACTTATTAATTACAAGTTCAAGTAAAAGCATCCACAATGTATAGTTCAATGAGAGAGTTGAATGAGGTGGCATGCCTAATTGGCATTCAATTGATTAAACTCTACCATTGTGGGATGTCATGTTGGCATTCAATGGATATGAAGTTCAATGGTCATTGAACTCTTCAATGGGAAAAAAGAAACCTTTTAACTATTAAATATATATTTCATTGAACTCTATTGAGTTCAATGCATTGTAGGAAAAATAATATAGAGTTGCATAGCAAGTAAAATGATGATGTGTCAATCCATTAAACTCTAACAAGTTTAATGCATTGTGGATGTCCTAACGGGATGAAATCGATATATGAGTTCATCAACAATTCTTAGAATTTTTAACTTGACATTTAAACTTAATTATAGCTTCCAAACATTTTTGTTACAGTCACAATTTGGTGATATATTGACTTCAAAAATCTTCAACGCCAAACTTGCCGAACACAACTTGCAACACTTCAATATTTTAAGAATTAGTTGCAAACTCACTATGTAGACTACTTATATATACGAGGTTGGAGATCCTCTATCTCGTGTGCCATTATTTAATACAATATCATCTTTTGCAATTTCAAAAATTAAAACAAAAGATGATGATGTTGGGTGTTAAGACACTAGTGATAATTTTATTTTTACAGGCAACGTTGGTGTCGATGGTGACTGAAGCAGCATCTGCTAATAAGGTAAAGCGTGTTAAGCCTCCAAAGCCTGTGAAACCTGTACAAGAGCTTTTAACATGCAAGAGCCGAAAAAGCAGGTGTTTCATGAAGCGCATCAAGTGCCCAGTAGAATGCCCCAAGGTTAAACCAAAGAACCCGAAAGACAAAGCATGTTTTCTTGATTGCTATTCACCCAAATGCGAGGCCGTGTGTAAATGTAAGTCAAAGAAACCCCCCTCTTCAAAATTACAAGATTTATAACATTTATGGTTCCAATAGTTTTCATTTATGGGCTGTTATAAGTGAAATATGCGAATAAAATGAGCAATTGCCATCGAAAAAACATACACGCATGAAAATATATATAGTTCAACTGATAAATCATATATTTGTGTGCATGTTGATAGCACGTAAACCAAACTGCAATGGACCTGGAGCTGCATGCTACGACCCACGATTCATTGGTGGTGATGGAATTGTATTCTATTTTCATGGAAAAAGCAACGAGCATTTTAGTTTGATATCTGATTCCGATCTCCAAATAAACGCACGTTTTATTGGACTTAGACCTGAAGGGAGAACTCGTGATTATACATGGATCCAAGCACTGGGTCTTAAGTTTGGCCATCACAATTTCACTCTTGAAGCAACAAGGACTGAAAAGTGGGATGATAATGTTGATCATTTAAAGTTATCATATGACGGGAAGGAATTGTTCATTCCAGAAAGCCATTCCTCCGAGTGGAATTCCACAGAAGGCAACATACAAGTTGAAAGGACTGCAACAACCAATAGTATAACGGTGAACATACTAGATCTTGCTGAAATATCTGTCAATGTAATTCCAGTATCAGAAGAAGATAGCAAGATCCATAATTATCAGATTCCAGCAAATGATAGCTTTGCTCATCTGGAAGTACAATTCCGATTCTTTGGTTTATCATCTAAAGTTGAAGGAATTCTTGGTAGAACTTATCGTCCTGATTTTGAAAATCCAGCAAAACAAGGAGTGGCAATGCCTGTGGTTGGTGGTGATGATAAGTACAAGACTAGTTCACTCCTTACGGCTGATTGTGCCCTCTGCGTGTTCTCTCCTAATGAAATCAAGGATGAACATGGCTCGCCAATGATGGATTTTGGCATGCTTGACTGCACGGGTGGAGGAAATGGAATTACATGTAAGAAATAAGTTTCTCATACAGTTTTTTATTTAAGCATGTAACGATTGATTTGTGTTTTCTCATTTTTTTTTTCTATTTTTTTTTTCTTACTTTTGTACTTGGCGATGTGCCAATAAATAAATTTGATTCCTTTTTTATATGTTTTAATTGATTGATGCAAGAAAATATAATAAATAAAATAATCATTATCGTTTTTTTACTGGTGTATTTAGTTTAGGTTTCTCAAATGTTGGTGCTAAATGAACTCCATAGATGGGATGTGTGAGTGTGTGGGATTCACACCGTGCGAGTAAAATGAAGTTTATTTAAGATCATCTTTCCCAAAGTCATGACTCATGATCGCTACAATTCAAGCAAATAAAACAAGAGAGAATTGGTGAAAATTATTTCTTTAGTTATTCAATATATACGATACAACTTATATGGTCTAATGGAATTTTATATTATCATTTCATTTTTTCATAAAAAAATTTATATATATTTTTCACAACGCGCTAAATTATATAGAAGTTCATGGGTACATATTAAAAAAAGTCATTTATTTGTTTTTTTTCTATATTTAAAGAATATTCATTTTCTATATTAGTTTATTGGTTATTCAACTTCATATCCATTGGTTATAATTAATTTTAAGTAGAAGGTTTATCCATCGACGGGAGGAAGGTCTTATTTTTGTTTCGGGAGGAAGGTCTTGTTTTTGTTTCGAGTAAGTTTTCCTGTTACACTTTCGATTTTTCAAATAAGACCTTGTGTCCATCACAAAGCAAGGGATAACCTTCTACTTATATATGATCTTTTAAAAAAGTCATTTATTTGTTATTTATGTTTCGATTATGTTGATTTTTCAAAAAGACAATTTCTCTGTAACATCTGTTCTCCGGAATAGATCAGTTGAGGACTTAGAGGGATCAAATGTCACTATAAAAAATAAAGGCGCGCAATAGCGGCGACATGTAATTTGTGGGTTACGTGTCGCCGCTAATATCGTGCGTCGCCGCTAATAGTAGAAAACCACGATCCATTTCAAAACAATCTGGTTAACCATGTTCGTTGATCTGGACATAATCGAACGGCTGAAAATTTACTTTTTCACAGTTGCTTTTACTTTTTTCCACTGAAAGTTTAATTCAAATGACAAATATATCATTAGGTTAAATATAATAACATTGAGATAATGATATTGAAGAGAGAGAAAGTGTTTGAATCCTAAGTCGATGAGGACTTGGAGACCAAGCAATCTAATTTATGGAAAGTTTAGTTTATGACAAGTTGGTTTGTTAGGCTATATATACATGTTCATAATCGAGTTTATGATTATGAGAATAGATTGTAAAATATTGGTTTTGAGTGATTTTCCAATTAATCAATGAGTGAATTTTGGTTATTTTGTTTTGCATTCTTGTTTTCTAAACTTTAATTGGTATCAGAGCATAGGGTTCGTGAGGACATAGGGAGGCCGGTTTGAGAGTCGGTTTTAAGAAAATTGTAGCCCTTTGCTGCAGGACAGACGCAGCGGGAACCGGGTTCGGTTTAAGGTGGTGTCGATTGTTTTTGAGCGCGAGTTGAAGCATCTCAATAGCATCCCCAATTTTTCTTGATTGAGCTTGTTCTAAGGTAGAGAGAGACTAACCGGAGGCGCGGAGTAAATGGATGGGAAGACGTCAAAGCGGGTGGCTTTGATTCAGTTCGTTTTGCGGGTGACGGAAGACGGTAAAGGTGGTCGTGACCTTGTCTTGTTGTTCGATGGAAAAGTGCTCTCGGAACATGCTTGATTAACGAGGTCGGGGTGGTGAAAAGAGATAATAGGATGTTGATCGGGGTTAAAGAATTATCTAGAAGGACTTAGAGATTTAGGGGTGATTGTTGGAATCCTAAGTCGACGAGGACTTGGAGACCAAGCAATCTAATTTATGGAAAGTTTAGTTTATGACAAGTTGGTCATAAGTTTCCTAGTCTAATACAAGTTGGTTTGTTAGGCTATATATACATGTTCATAATCGAGTTTATGATTATGAGAACAGATTGTAAAAATATTGGTTTTGAGTGATTTTCCAATTAATCAAAGAGTGAATTTTGGTTATTTTGTCTTGCATTCTTGTTTTCTAAACTTTAGAAATATCTCATTAAATTGTTTCCAAAACTACGTCCATATTCTTCCTCGTTTGGCTCTACAAGGGCATCTTCTTCCTTCGGTGCTACAATCTTCACTAATGCAGACTCTTCAAAAGCTTGCTTCACATGTTTTAC